GGAGGGCCGAGGGATGGACTGAACAGGAAAGGAAAGAAAAATGAGTAAAAGAGTGATAGAAGGGGGGCATGGAAAATGATAGGGAAAGAAGAAATGGAGGATTATTAAAAGACGTGAAAGAATGGGGGGGGGGTGACGACTATGGCAGTGACAACTGGAGATAAAATATGATGATGTGGATGTGGAAAAATAAGGAAAGGAAAAGTCACATTTGATAGAAAAGAGAGGAAGGGAGAGAAAACTTAGATCTAATCTAAGGCTAAATGAGGCCAGAGTGTGTGGGTAGGTGCAAAATAATTAAAAAAGAAAAAAAGAAAAAGCATCAGGTGTGCTTCCTGTCAAGCAGAAAACCAACTCGAGGACATTGCTGTGTGCACAGATAGAGGATGTTGCTATTCAATTTATTTTGCTGAAATTGACCTGGGAGTTCTTCAAACCACCTGTGAATCTCACTGAATGTTACTGTGGCTTTTTTTAGAAAGTGATAGGTGTGCATGCCTTTTACTGTATGCCCACTTTCCCTCTAGTGACTGATTTGCTTAAGGAGTTGAAGAGGAATGAAAATGCTGATAAGGGATGAAAAAGAGGAATAAATGGAGAGAAAAAGAAAAAGTAAGATGACCACTGGAGCGTGTCACTTTGGCCAAATTGTTGAGCCTCTTCTAATGCAGCTCAGCTACTGTTCTCTCTTCTTTAATTCAACATGCAAACGATGGAGAAAATGGAGGAGGGCATCTACATGGGGCCATGAGAAAGATGGATGGAGAGGGACAGGGGTTGAAAGAGAGAGCAGGGTGATCAGAGTAATTTCCTACTCTTAAGAGGATCATTTACTGTCTTGACCCCACAACACATGTTGCATTTGAATCCTACCGGCTATTAGTTTTGATTCTGCTGCGAAAAGCCATAAAGAAAACACTACATTTATATCTCTATTTGTTGGTTTGTCCAAATGCATATGACTTGAAGATTGAAATCATTTACCTGCCTGCTCTCCTTCTTTCTTTCCCCTGACTGACAGACTGTCTGATGGGCTGATTGAGGTCTTTCTGAAGAACAAACAGTGGTCGACCAGAAATAATTTTCCTAACTCCAGCTCCAGTTAGAATCACAGTGATTTGTTGACCCGTGTTCAGCGATAGACTGAGACAGGTTAATGCGTTTCCTTCACAACAAACCACATCTGAACTAAACAGAAATAGCTGCTGCTGTCAAAAAGAATGAGATTTCATTTTTAAGATGCACAAAGAAAAAGAAAAGGCAGACACAATATAAATGTAAAACAAGGACGAATCTTAACCTTTAAAACAAATAACTGCCGACCTCATCTCTCTATTTGTGGGTTCTTAAGTCCAAATAAACTAAAAATATGGTACTTACCCATTTGTACCCTGTTATATAAAGTTATAAAGGGAAAAGCGTGGGTATAAAGAACATCCCATTCAAGAGCAAGGCCATCAGGACTTCTTATTAGCTTAACTGACATGTGAATGGCAGACGACAATTTGTTATGTTGTCACTTTCTGTGAGTGTGGAGAGTGCTCACATTGAAAGGAAAACACAAAATAAAGAAACAAGTGAACAGTAGAACTATATAGCTGACAAAACAGACTTGCTTGTTGTAGATCTTTTGACTCTTTCTGACAGTCCTCATCTTTCAATTCAAACCCACCAATCTCTCTCTCGGCAGGTGCAACTCCTGGCAGCTAATGAGTCAGAGCCACCTTCCCAGGTGTGATGTCAGTTCTGACCCTGCTTCCTTCAGCCTGCCTAAACCAAAACGCTTTATCATAACAGTTTCCAATAACTTTAACAATTATACTGTCAAGTGACAGTGAGCCAGAATGCACAATATCAGGGCTTTGAAACTAAAGCAACTAAATAGAATTTTATCCTTTAGACATTTGCTTTTCTAACTGTTGGTTCCTGATAAAGGCGTATACCATAGTGAAAAGCAACGTTTCGAATGTGGAAACTGAATTATTTTGTAGACTGGACAAAATCTGGTGATTTTTGTTTTGGGAAATGCATCACAGGTTTTGAGTGACACTGCTGCACAGCTTGATTGATCATCAGTCCACCTAAAGGCTCAGCACACCCACACCGATGATTTAAATTACTCTGGTTGATTAGATTTCTGCTGGGTGGAGATATGCTGGGAATTACATGATGTCCCCAATCTCTATGTACTAACACTAAATGGTGAATTGTCCTGTCATAACAAGTTCAACTAACAGCTAAGGTGAGACAGATCACACTCAATCAAGCACACACAGTCCTGAACAGAGGTCCAACCACACAAAATAAGTGGATTCATTGAATTTCCTCAGATGTACAGGGGTCTTGTCAATACTCGTCCAGAGCAGCAGAACAGACACGTCACTACTTATCTGCTTTTTTGTGTAAACAGAAGAAGGATTAGAGACATTTAAGCTGAAATATTTGACTATTTAATTTGGACATAATCAGTGGAGTAGAATCCCTTCAGGTGCTTTTTTTTTTTTACATCTTTGTTTTGGGCTACATTTTTATTCTCCTATATGTGTGAACAAATGTTCATTCCAGCTGTGAGGAAGGAAAATATAATTCATTATTGTGTCTCAACACATGGCCATCAAACTGACAGGCTGTGTTGTGCCTCATTAATCACTTATTCTGCTGCAGAATCCAGACTTTACCAAATGGTCCTGATGATCAATGCAATACTAAAACTTACAGCTTAGATTTTTAACAAGGGTGTTACACATTATCCGCCATGTGCCTTTACTGGCAGCCCTGAATCAATTTAGATTAAGTCAGGAATACAGATGAAGAGAAGGACTTTTTAAAGCTGTTGGAGTGCTAACACTGAGATGTCCACAGCTTCTTCTTCTTCTCTCACACCTACCCTCATAAATATTAACTACAGACCCGCAGTAGAAACACAGGCCATCAATAATGCAGCTCCCCAAAATGCTTCTTCCCAAATAATTGCAGCTACAAGCCAAGTCCTCGAGACAGCCTTTAAGGCGTGTTGCAGCTGTGGTGCCACTGCCTCATTTTGCCTAAACAATCATTTCACATGGAGGGCAGAAGCAGTGCAGGGGATATTTGTTTACATCCCTCTTGTGCTATAATGGGGCTGTGGTGGATGCATTTAAGCTTGGTTGGATAATAAGATGGTCAATGATTAACTGAAGAAAATAAGAGCTGCAGGTGTGTAATGTAACATAGAAATTAACCACACTTCTCTCATTCCTCATTCTTCTGGAACAGCACTCTGTTGGTCAAATTGTGGTAAGGCATTTGCTGTTATAGGCAATTAACCTTTTTGACTTTGGCCATAATTAATATTAAAAACATCAGATATGCAGCTGTTTAGCAACATAATCAACAAAACAACACTTAGTAACACTGGGAAAGGCAATTAAACACTCCTGAGAGGAGAAAGCCAAAGGAAAGACACGCAAGCGCAAACGTAATGCAGTAAATAACAAATATTTTATAAATGTGTTTTTCTCCCAACATTTAGGCTGAAATGTCATAATTTATTCCAATTGCTTCTAAAAAAAACATTTGGTCTCATTCAATAACAAACCCAAACCCACTCTAGCAAATGTAAACTCAGTGTGTGTAATTCATGCAGTTAACATACATTTGTCACAAATTATTGATCCAACAACAGATTGTAGATTGATCTCCAATAGTGTTAATGCACAGGCACACCTAAATGTTGCATAATATGTGCTTTTGGGTATAAGCACTAAAGGTTATTGATAATCAGACCCAGGACAATGTGCCTCTCACAATCCCTGACCCCCGATCTATGACCTCTTTCCATGAGTAATGACCCTTTAAACCTCAGCTTGGCCTGTTGTCTTTGTTTGCATGAATATAGAACACATGCTTGAGAGGTTGGACTAACACAAGATTGAACCTGCTGGGTGGTCTTTTCTAATTCAGGAGGTTCGGGAAAAGGAAATCTGATGGTGCATCTGTCTAATAACTGTTTACACTTGATCCTGAAAGTGATTTCACTAAAATAAACACCAGTGCAGCTTCTGTATGTAATCAAAATATTTACTATGGTTTAACCCGCGGTTCTTTGGCCAGGACCCAGAATCACTATGCCAGACAGAACGCTGTCAACAACAACTTTGTACCAACTGTGATGTGTTAAAGCTCAATCGAACCCTATGGGGTTCATGTTGCTGCGTTTCTTCAAGTCTCATCAAAAGTGAGAAAGTCACTTTGATATTTTCTGCCAGTGCCACATCTACTTAATCTTCGTTTCTTTATTTTCCAGCAGTCTTCCCTCATCTGCAGCACCATGTGCTGCTGCTCCAGCACTTTAATCAGCTGCTCCACCCCTCGCTGAGCTCATGGCTCCTCTGTGGCCCATGTGTCCTTGCATGTCTCTGTCATTCACACACACACACACACACACACACACACACACACACACACACACACACACACACACACACACACACACACACACACACACACACACACACACATTTTCTGCCAGCCATTCTCGCATCACACGGCTGAGTGGAACAATGAGCTGTATCCTACTCCTGGGGCAGAAGGTGAAAACACACTTACACTGAAATACACACACATATACACACACACACACACACAGTTGAGTACATATAGCACACATTCAGAAACATCTGTCACAACTGGCTGACTTGCAGCATATGGATATTCCCTGTTCATTTTCAGTCAGGGAACTTGATCCAAAACTACTAGACCTGACAGGAAAGCTCATCTTGGCTTTCAGTGCACTAAGACTGCATCCAGAGTCCTACTAACAAATAAAGAAACAAAACCCACACAGGAAAACTTGCTGGTGCTTTCCTCCTGAATTCATTGCACAGTAGAATACATCTGGTATATGCTATCAGAACATATGCCCGCCTCTCTTTCCCTTATGCCACTGTGACACGGCAATCTGTCTGCAGCTGCTGACCTCTGAGGTTTCCCCACTCAGCCCTGACCTGGCAGTGACTCACCGATCTCGCAGCTCTCTCCAGAGAAGCCCTGAGGACAGTAGCAGCTATAGCCGTCACCTTCCTGCAAGCAGCTCCCTCCGTGGAGACAGGGGTTGGTCTGGCATGGGTTATTCTCCACTGTAAAGACAGATAGATTGGGAGTGGGAGAGGGGAGGGGGTTACATATGAATTCATAATTTATGTTACAGAGAAAAAGCATTATGAAAGTGCTTTGAATGTTGACAAACTACAGCAGCAGTGACCCAGCATTATGCCCCCCTCATTATCCTTCCTGAGCCCATCCTCTCGCTGCTCTGACAGAGATAGAGGAAGAGTATAGTGGGCAGACAGTACGCAGACCCTTCCCTGTCTCTATGACTTTCTGCAAGGTGACGGATTGGCTGTTGTTGCATCTGTCGTGCCCCTGTTTATCATGACTGATGCTACCCAGGCGAAGGACAATGTGCTGAGTCGACCCCCTCTTGCCGTTCTCCTGCCTCCCATCCCAGGTCCTACTGATGAGCCAAGGTCCTCATAAATTAGCTGATCATCACCCAGTCATGCATACCGGCGTGGGGCACCTATTTTTATGGGATATTACAGAGTTGCAGAGAAAGTAATAAACATATTTTACATCGCTGGGCTATAACTCCATACCTCTTCGTGGGAAATGTTTTGGCGGATGAATGGTGGAGATTGAAGAGATTAAGTCGTAATTATTACTCTTATATTTTAGGATGGGACGGAGGGAGGAGGAGAATTTGACAAGGACGGTTAGAGCGCAGAGCAAGCGTTATATTTTTATTCTGTGTGCAAAGAAGGACTGGCTAGATTAACTGTCTTTTTATTATCCAATCCTGATAGGATTGCACCCCCTGACACAATCTGTCAGGCCATCTAATATACTGCATCTTCTCCATAATAACAACCAGCCTCACTTAATGATGTATGAGCAGAGAGATGCTGTGCAGAACATAGAGTGCAGTTCTCCTGAAAGTCTGGGAATTCTGTCATTTGTGTGTGTAAGTGTGCATTTGAAAAAGATGGTGTGTTTATGCATATGTGTACATGTGTGTATTTCTAGATGTTCGCCTGACCCTGACTCACTGCAGACTGGTGGTATATACAGTAACGTGAGTGTGTGTTCAATTTCCTGTGAAACAGGGAGATAGAGTCCCCCTGCTGCAGAGAGGCTGCTGTTGATACACTGGGCAAGGAAGATGATGGAAAGGCTGCCTTTGAAAATGCATAAAAGTGATTCGCTGAATGAGAAAAACCATTAGAGACAGGCTCATTTCTTAAATCAACAGCGGGGAGGAAAAAAACAACATTGTACGTGCCTTGAAAACATACATTGCTTAAAGGTTAACGATGTACTGATGGAGATGGTAAAATCTGAAAGTGTTGAGCAGTGCATGACACATAAAATAAAATAAAAGAACACACAGGATATGGTCAATGTGAGTGCCTGGTTGGGTCTAAAAAAGTCAGGTAATGGAGAAGAGAAAATGGAGAATCAATCCATCCATCCATAGGACCAGTAAGCTGGTATGCTATGGAACTGACATTTAGTCCCTGTGCATAAAACCAGTGTACATGTAATCTAATGTAGTTATTTTCAAAAACATGTAATGTTTCTAATAGCAAGCTATTTTTTCTACCAAGTAGTGGGTTAGTGTGATCAAATGCTACATCCACATCAGTTTGTGTTTCCCCTTACCTTGACACCAACAAGTTATTTGTGTGACGCCTCACTACAGCTTTACCTGAGCTTGAAGGAGGGCATAGGGCAACAGTATCGAAACATTTAATTGGAAGGGGAGGGAAATACCACTCGAAGGGGGAACAGACTTCAACACAATATTGGTCCCGACTTTCTGCTCTGTGATACATTCTACTGCAGGTGGGGTCAACCAGTCAGACTTAAAGAGCCAAAAAATAGTTGTACTGGCATAAAGGGACCCATTTATTTAAAGGTAGACAGAAGTGAAACTTTGTAAAAGAAATATTGATGAAACATCATTGTTTAATGTAATCATGTGCCGTTGGTGAAGTGTATGGAACTGTACTTTGCTGGTCAGTTAAACTACAAAATACTGAGTGCATTCATTATTACATTATTTAACAGTATATTTCGGTGTGATATAGCTTTACTGTAGCTTGTAGCTTGCTGAAAGTAGCAAGTAACAAATCTTAACTGTATACTTTATCTACGTGTAGTGAGGAGTAGCTTGTAGCCACAGTCTGAAGGTAGCTTCCCCAACCACTGTAACAGTTATGATTAATCATGATGTTAATCAGTTTCCAACAACATAGAAAATACCAAATGTGATGTGACTTGTTAATGAGTTTTGTTAAATGAATGGTCAAATGATTTGTTTGCTGTTGCCACATTTCCCATCACATTACAACATGAGTATGTTCTCCATTCCACCATCGCATCAAGCAAGAGTGGATGAAAGCATGTCACCAACAGTAAGTTCAGTGTGTGGGAAAATGGGAGTAATCAGTAAGTACCTCAATCTACTTCCACAGCTGGTGTCCACGGCAACTCTTCAGGTAAATTAGATGATGTGATGTGAAAAGTTATTTGGACTAGGCTCATTTTGTGTGAAATCCAAATAGTCAAAATGATACATTGTTGGAAAAAATGCTTCTCAAAGCAGCTTGTGCATCTCTTTCATACAAAATGCTTACAGGACCTTCACTTTCAAGTGGTCAGTTTCTCTAATCCACTGTGAAATTCAATGTCTTTGTTGAAAGATCAAGGTGACGTTTTATGGAGTTGAAATAGTGTGTGTGTGTTTGTGTGTGAAATACTAGAAGTATATGATACCACATGTCATACTGCAAATTAGGCAGTAGCAGAATCAAGGTTACAAAGGTAGCTCGCTTAGCTTAGCAAAGAAACATGACTGCTGTCTTTAAACAAAAATACATTTAATTTTGATATAGCATATATATATATATATATATATATATATATATATATTATAGTTCATTGTAAGGGATTATGTTTATTTCCTTAAACAAACTAGGTAAAATGGACAAGAAACCTTAAGGAATACCTTATTACACCCATTTTTTCTAGGTTTTATGTAGATGTTATGACAATATTTTTTCAGGTAAAATAATCAGCCATGTAATTTTCCTTCTGTAACATGTGAAAATGTCTGTAGAAGAAGTCTATTAAGCAATAAATACATAATTGACCATGACTAAGAGTCTACAGCCATGCAGTTCTGCGAGGCACATGCAGACGCTTAAGAGGTATAACGTTTACCATGTTCACCATCTTAGTTTAGCATGTTAGTATGCTGACAGAAATGCTAACAGAAAGTACAGCTGAGGCTGATGGGAATATCATTAGCTAGTATTTAGTCATTCGTATTTGACATATTGAGCTGACCCAAAATAAACATCAAAGGTCAGTCTGGTCACATCAAAAACAAAAATCTGATACAGTCATCTGAGGTACAGATCAAACTGCCTGAGGCAAGAGTTCAGTGACAAAATACCATTTTATATATTACGTTTAAGCTGGTGACATCTTAAAATATACCTGCATGTTCTACAAACCCCTCCTTATGCATTAATCTGTCCCACTAGTACTGCCAAAGATAAGTCTGACATGTAAGTATCTCTGCATGCAGTTTTGGTATTAAATCTGAGCTACACAAATACCTCTCCACTTTGAATCACAGCCCAGTATCTTCTGCAGTGCAAAAAGCAGTGATGCACACAGTGTAACTGACAGCTAAGGACCGGGTCATCAAGTAACCCCAGCGAGGAAGGCTCAGTAGCCAAAAGCTGTACTTCTCATGGCCATTCTCCCAGTCAATCACACCACAGAAGGTAATGCTGTACAGTAGTTCTGGCTTGTGTTTTTATCTGCATTAATACTGCACAGGGTTTTCTTTGCCATCATAAAAAATGAGAGTGACATATCTTAAAAAGTAATCCATAAGCTCCTTAGGATTTAAGTGGATGAAGTCACCAACTGATAGGAAAAACTGGAGCAAAGCTGAGTGTGTGATTTTTCGTGCGTGTGATTTTTCGTGCGTGTGGGTACGCATGTGTTAGATGCCTTAGAAACCCTAAAAATGTATTTCTATAGGTCCATTGTACTCCACAAAAGTTCACCAGTTCCAGCAAAACGGCCTTAATGATGAGATTAAAAGGACTTTTCTTCAGCTACCATCTACCAGCACTGATAAATGATGGCAGTGCTGAGCGGTAGCAGAATAGGACATTGATCCAATCTGCAGACAATTAGTAACGACTTATTACACACAAATGAGACTGCGTTCTTCACCATCTGTCCACAAACAGTAGCCTGCAGTCTTAGCTGTGACATCACATGTACACTGCACAGAAATGAGACAGCAGTTATGGATCGTAAGACTGCAGCAACATCTCAGCCCAAAGAAATGTTCTGCACGAATGGATGAACACGCATGGAATCAGCCATGTAACAGGTAACTTAAAATGAGATGTGACTGGTTCAGCGTTTAAACATTCATTTCTTCAGATGACATTTTGCAGTTTTCATAATTACGGTAGGAAATGTGCGTGTGTGCAAACACGTGAAACTAAAGATATGCAAGAGGAAAACATTAAAAAAGACATGAGAGAGAGAGAGAGAGAGACAAACATGAAGGAGAGAGAGACCCTAGTCCATAGGAAAGAGAGAAGGAGAGGATACAAATTAAAATTTAGCATAGAGAAGCACCACTATGAGCGAGAGAGATGGACTGAGAATATGAGAGAGAGAGAGAGAGAGAGAGAGAGAGAGAGAGAGAGAGAGAGAGAGAGAGAGAGAGAGAGAAAATGTCAGCTAGGGAGGGACAGAAAGTCACAGAGGGAGCTATCATACATTTCCTCCTTCTTAATGCTTGCTGCTAGCTTATGATTAATTACACACTGGTCTTAAAATAGGTCGCCTCTTCCATTCCTACTGTGCATCTTTCTTTTTCTGTATGAAAGACAGAAAGGAAAAGAGAAAGAGAGGAAGTCCGAGGGAGAGGGAAGGGAAGAGAAAGACGCTCCAGTTTATGAAAAAGACAGAGATGAAGGCAGATATAACAAAAGGGAGGCATATTAGGACTTACATGGCTTCAGCTTTCAGGTCTGAGCTT